TCCCTCAGGAGGGGACTTCCCCTGTGCCTGTACCCCTGCCACTTAATTCCAGCTCTCCAGCTCCTTGGCTGTAGCCAGCATGAGGCTTTCAGCCACTGGGGAGCTTCAACTAAACGAGATATCTATAAACTGCTGTCGCTTTTCCATCCTCCCCTTTTTGGCTGCAAGAATGAAGTGTACTGACAATTTTAATGCAGAAAAAAAGTGCACCCCAGGTATCAAAAGTTTAGGAAACACTGATGTAGACCAGTAGTGCTCAACTTTTTTGTCTGGCGAGTCAGATCTGGCTGTTGGTCCTGATCCAGCTGCACAGAGGAGGGGAGGGTGGGGGTGCAGCCCAGCCCCAATTGTGTCCCATGGAGGGAGAAGGAGCTTGGCCTAGCCTCAACCCAACCCCACTTGTGGTGGGGGGTGGTGAAGGGAGCATGGCCCAGTCCAAACAGTCCAAACCAAGCCCGGTGGGGGGAGGGAGCTTGACTTGGCCCCAACCCAGCCCTGCTGGGGAGGAAGAAAGGAAGAGTGTCCTGGCCTCAACCAAGCCTCGCAGGAGGTAGGGCGTCATGGCCCAACCCCATGGGGAGGGGAGGGGAGGGAAGAGGGGGCATGGCTTGGCTTCCAACCCAGCTACACAGAGACACTGGGGTGTGGTCTGGTTGACTCACCATGGGGCTGCGGTCTGGGAATCTGGCAGCAGGAGAGGGTGGCTGTATTAATTGCCACTGCTTTCCTCCACCAAATTCCCCAACCCATGGGAGAACCCTGCAGGCCACATGCCAAGGCTCCACAGGTTGCATTTGGCCTGTGGGCTGGAGGTTGAGCACCCCTGATGTAGACTGGCTCCACTGCACAAAAAGCTTTGGTAGTTCTTCCCAAAAAGTATTTATGTTTTAAACCAATGAAAGGGAAGAGAGTTTGGAAGAGAAGATAACATCCTCCCAGCAAGTGACCAGAGGAGAAAATAGGACAGCTCATCTCATTAGGGGCACTTCTGTTTGCGAGTGCAAGTCAAGGAACATAGTAGTGAGAAGCCTGGGTGTAAGGGAGAACGGAGTTGAAAGAAGTGCATGCAGCAACATGGTGGGTGGGAAGGATGAGGTCCTGACAAGGGTGGTAGTCAGCAAATTATCAAAAAGTGCACTGACCAGAGTGGAGCGTGGTGGCTCCACAATGCTGGGTGTGAGAGAGAGAGAGAGAGAGAGAACACTACCTGACAATATCACCATTATAGTCTCCCACTGGTGGGAGAAGACTTCTTGGACAATAACTCTTTAAGGTGAACTCCAGTGAGGATGGTTTACCTGAGGCAGAGTTGTTCCAAAGGCACTCTTTGTATTTCAGGCAACTGCTGCTTTATAAGCTGGTGATTATAGTGATGGCTACTGAAAAGATGAAAGCAAACTCCAGAAGCTACACGGCCTGCTCGCCCCTTCCTTTGCAAAGCATTGGCTTTGGACACAAATGTATCTTCCAGACTTTCCATTCCTTTGCTGGGATCATACCTGCAAAAGAAAAAGCGAAAATGACTGAGGACGGTAATGTTTCAGTTCAAGAATGCCAGGTATTAACACTGGACCTCCAGTGGAGGAGTGCCACCAGCTTCTAGAAGAGAGCAATCACTAACACCAAGGATGCAAGTGGAGTTTACCTGGAACTTGACTGAAGTCAACAATTGCTGGGTTCAGAATAAAGCCCTTCTACATTTTCTCAAACTCTTAAAAATAGGGCTTTTAATAACCTTAAATGGACAGCATGCAAACATGACATTTTCCAAGACCATATTCCATGAAAATAATTCTTGTACCTTTTCTCTTTCATTTTGCCTGAATCAATCACAAAGATAATATCATCAATGGTGACGGATGTTTCTGCAATATTTGTAGAGATAATTATCTTGGTGACTCCTACAGGAGGCTTAAGGAACACAGACTGCTGTTCTTCACTGGACAGTGAGGAATGAAGTGGTAAAACAACACACCTAGAAGAAAAAAAAAGGCATGCTTTCCTTTGCCATTATTTTTCCTTCCTGATATCAGTCTGTTTACACATGCTTTAGTCCACAGAGTATTACACAGATACTCATTTACAAAGTGGAAGTTATATTTAAATGGTTCCTATCCCAACCTCTGATTATTCCTCAACATTTTCTGAATGAGGGTATGAGGACCTGTGGAGTATGTCTTCTGTGGGTTTCAGGGATAAAAATCTACCACACCATGTTTCACCATTGGCTTTTCTGGTGGGTACAATGACCAGGAAGAATGTAGCCCTACAAATTTACTTGTAAGAGTGAAATAAATGGACTGTCCAAGTGGACATGGAAAACTGCCTGAATGGAAGGAAGCAATGAAAATAAGACACTGTCCCCGATGTGAAATCAGCTACCTTGGTTTTCTTTTCTCTCTTCAAAGTTCAGCCTTTAGGCCCTCAAGGAATGCTGTCATAGGTGCACATACCCCACCCTACTTTGGCCACAGGGCTTCCCTTAAGATATACTCTGGGAAAGAAAGAAGCAAGCTTAGGGGGATGGGATTCTGTCTCTAATGGAAGGGCCTGCAAGCAGTGATCTTGTGAGCAGCTGAGTATAAAGGATCCCCTTTCCTTCCCTGAAGCAGATGAGAGGTCCAGCCAGGATTTCTGTTTTGGAAGTTCATCTGTTTTTCTGTTCCCAAAATTCCTTTCCTATTCACTCACATAGCAGTGATGGAGTCTACATGCCTGAGGTGATACATTGGCTTGTGCATCTTTATCACTGACCTAGAGACTGACATTAAAGCAGTAAGCACAAGCAGGGCAGCCAAACAGTTAATACAAGTCCTTCTGGGAACATTACTTTATTCTGCTGAGGAGTTTAGTGATCACAACACATTTGACTGAGGTCACTTAACCTAACCAGGAAAAAGCTTTTAGTTTAGATGTAGTATTTGGACAGTGATCCAAATTACACTGGAATAGTTTTCCTTGCAATATTAGCTTGTCTTTAATAGATCTTGATTTTTTTTCTTGCCCATCCCTACAAACATCTGAACATTTTTCCTTAAAATCACGTTTTAGCATATTACTAGATGCAGAACTTTTTGAAGTAGAAAACAAGGTAAAAGGTAAAGTTAAACCTCAACTTTTTTAGCCTTCCATTGGATTGCTTTAGCTGGTGCATAGAGACAATGTAAATGGCACAAAGACTAGCTAGGCCAGATATCAGCAACCTAGGGCCCAGGGGCTGCATTCAACCTGTGAAGGAATTTAATCTGGCCTGCCACAGCTCAGAGAATTAGCAGCATGCTCCAGTCACAGTAGCAGAGAAGATAATCTCAGGGTCCTACTGCCAGCTTCCACTAGTTTGTTCTTTCTGCTGCAACAGAAAAGCAAACCCCAGGGTCCTAGAGCCTATCTTTTCCAATCCTTTTCTATTGCAGTATTTGCAGATCGCAGAAGGGTATTAAGGAGGTGCCGCAGGGCACTAAGGTGCCTGCTCCTCTTAGAGCAGAGATGAGAACCCAGGTGCAGGTGGCCGTGACAACCAGTTAGTGAGGGAATTGGCCACAACTGCACCCGGTCGGCTGGCTGGAGGAGGCAGGGCCCTAGGCCCATGTGAACCCTAGGGCTGGGACCAGGGAGTTAGTTCCCTATCAGCAGCTGAAGGGGAAGGAGCCTCCAGGAAGGAAGGGCCCAGAGATGGGGTAGCTGGCAGATATGCCACCCTTAGAACAAAGGGAACACCAGGAGCCCAAAAGGTATCCTCGCCTGCTAGACACTGAGCCTCAGAGAGGGAGTTTTACTCTTTTAAAGGGACAGAGCATGACATGAGTTCTACGTTACGTTACAGCCCAGGGACTCCTGGTGGTTGGCTGTGGTTGGTGTGCTGTCTGATAACACCGGTGGTTTGGGTGAGGTTATTTGGGGAAGGAGGTGGCCCCATTGGGAGCCCACTGCAGTGTGGGGACCCTGGCACCAGAAAGGGTGTGGCATTTGGGGTGCACAGGCCCAGGCACCACCGAGGCTCAGAGAGAGACGGGAGGCAAATTACAAGGCCTAGACCAGACAACGTCAGTACAAGTTGTGAGGCTTGGGGCATGGTAGAGGGACAGTTGGAGCCACATGTGGCCCATAAGGCTGAGAGATGCAGGAACCATCCACATTGAAGCAGGACATCAAGGGGTCTAGAGACAACAGGGCTATTAGGATCTAGCCAGACCATGTCCAAACCTAGAGCTCAAGGGCAGCCTCCCTATATTTATCATACCAACAAGATGTGGCGGGAGAGAATGAGGGTGCTTGTAGGGAAAGACTGACACAGTTAAGGACACGTCCACCCCTAGGCACCCTGCCCTGCTACAGGGGGTAAATGGTGGGGCATGACAGGAGCTAGTTTGCAAGCAGTGATCCATGATGCAAGAGGATGCCAACCACTGAGCGAGGCTGTTAAACAACACTTATTACTGGCGTATCTGACAGATTCCCCAAATTACTAAATTAGGTTTAATTTTGGTCATGAAAACATCAATTTTCCCTTCCCCAACTTGAGGACACTGGTCTAAAGCTTCCATCACCAACATACCATATGTGCCTGTAGATTTCTGTGCTAGTTAAAAAGAACCTATTCCAAAGGAACAGAAGTAAACAGCCAGTGGTACATAAAGGTTCACCCCTTTGCCACCTGCCTCAACCTTTCAATAACTTTCACTTCCAATTGGCCTGAGATATTAGAGTTTGTATAGAACTGCAGCAATATCTTTAATAAATCAGTTTCTTTCTGCTTTAATTCAACAAAATGATAAGTTTTAGGACACTTTTTGACTTACCGCTTACTATGTCTATTATTGAAAAGGGCATTTGACTGCAGCTGCCCATAAAGCATCTTAATTTCTGCTAGACCAGGCAAAAATACTAAGACAGCACCTAAAGACATAGGCAAAAAGAGAATAGAGGCATTTGGATAAAAAATATTATTAGACAAGGATACTCTGAGAGTGGACAAAGGCCTGAGTCCAACTAGAACAGTACTCTGCAGTGTGCTGTATGAGCTCGTAAGCACCAGTGGTCCCTCTTCCAAAGAATTTGCAGTCTAAGCCAGGGGTTGGCAACACTTTCCAGTCTAAGCTGGGGGCTGGAATGACCCAGTTTGGGTTGGACTTGGGCAGGCATTAGGGCCCAGCTGCCACTGCCACTTCTTCCCATGATTCAGCTGCAAAAGCCCCCCTCTGCCAGAGCCTATGCTGCTCAACTGCAGCATGACATGGGCAGAATTTCCCCTCTGCCAGAGCCCCAGGTGGCTGACTGTGGCTTGGCACAGGGAGAGGTCTCGACTGCCAGATGCTGCAAAAACCATAGTTCTGTGGGCAAAAACAAAGGCTCCATTGGCCAGATCTGGCCTGTGGGCTGTAGGATGCTGACCCCTGGTTTAAACAGACAAGACCATGTGCTTGTTCTGTCCATCCTACAGAAACAAGGGGCTCTCACCTCTGAGAAAATCAAGTGGAGAGAATCAAGTAAAATCAGAAATCATGGAAATTAATTAGTGCAAACACGTCAACTTGACAGAATTCACCCAAATGCGTAAGCATTAGGTGAATTTCCTTCCGTTCAAACCATAATGGACAAACATGTTACCTGGTGGGTATGAGTGTTTGCCACTGACTATCCACTCCAATAAGTCCTCTATTAATTCAAGATTAACTTTGTCGAAATCCATGGCAGCCATTGTTTTTAACACTGGTTTACTAACTCCTGAAAGAAAAAAATAGAATATACCAGGAGCACAAAGGTAAGTCCATGTCTAATAACATATGACATACAATACAGTGAGATATGGCTACACAAAGAATTAAACCTTTGGTCAGAGGCTAGTCTGTCCTATAGATTTAGCTGAAAGGGCTCAGGAAGCTAATATTTGAGTGTTACTTCTCATCTCCTTCTCCACTTGGCCCCTCTACTCATTCACACTTTTCTCTCTGTCCCTCTTACTCACTAGACTGCTTCCATTTTATTTTACTCTTTTTCCATTCAGCTCTCTCACATTTCATTAGGTGTCACGTACTCCTCAGGACCTGTATTCTTTTGATGGCTCAGCCTGTGCACCCCCAGACCAGAATCAGACAAGACCTGGGACTGCCACAGAGCTAAAAGAGGTCTTACACCCACTTAATGACTGACTCCTGAGCCTTCAGGACACCACTCACAAGCTCTTTCTTTCATCTCTCAGAATTTCAGTCCTCCAAAGGAAAACAGACCTTCTCCCCCATGACCACCTCCCCCACCAACAAAAAACAAACAAACTCCAAAACAAAAAAAAATGTTATCCTTCAGGGCTACCAGAACCATCCTACAAGAGGCAATCTCAGAGCTGTGCATCATAAATTACAACAGAAGGATGGAGTGGGTGACATGATTAAACCTTATTCTGCCACTCACTAACAGGTCAAAATACATCTTCAACAGTATCCAACAAAAGCCCTGGCACTATTACTACAGACTGTTGTAGCCTACAAAGGCAGGAATCTGAAGACTTCAAAGCATGAGTGCTCAAAGTGAACAACCAGGGGTGTGTGGAACGCTTTTAAAGGACATATGGAAGAAAATATTTTGAGAACCTAGCAGCCGGAAGATTTAGGTGTGGATTTAGATTTAGGACCTGGCTCATAAGAAAGCCCCCTCTACATATTATAGGTATCACACAATTAACTGGTCATCTGTGTAATTACCTTAAGACCAGCCACACATGCAAAATACTTATCACACAATAAAAAGCCCCAATCAGCTATAAAGTTAAATCTCAGAAATGTGTACTAAACTTTATAGCTGGTTGCTACTGAGCTTTAATTTGCACATGTAGCAGGGTCTCCTCTACAGTTGGGATCCCTGTCAGCTGACAGGGCTCCTAACCGCAGGGATGCACCAGGCCTGGCATGAAACCCGCGAGTCAGGGGACTGTGGCAGCTGTGATCCCCAAGGCTTGGGGGTGCATGAAAGCCCCCGGGGCAAAGGGGATCATGGCAGCTGCAATCTCTGCACCTGAAGCGGCTCAGTCCCAGCTGCATGACATGTGCAGCCAGAACCCAGCGTCTCATGCCTGACAAGGTCAGGGCTGGGACCAAGAGTATGGCGCAGGTGGGACCAAGAGCCCCATCAGGTGCAGGGATTGCAGCTACCATGATCCCCTTGGCCCCCTTGGGTCAATAATTGAATGTGGAACTCTCAATCCCAGCTACACATGGCCCCCCATGGCTTAGAGCACCCTCAGCAAAAGGGGCTTCCAGCTGTGGGAGCCTGTTTTTTGCCAATGCAGGCTCCCCCTACACCAGCAATAAAAGCACAATTGGATCTGAAGCAGAATCCCACAACTGCGCCTCCTGCCATGCATGTGTGGTATGGCAGGAGGCACAATTGTGTAGATCACACATTAGATCCAATCATGCCTTTACCTGTACATGTAGAGGGGGCCTAAGATACTTAAAAAGGAACAGTTATATAATAGGTTATTGCCAAAACCAGTCCTTTATCATATGCTAAGAATTGTTGGAGAGGCCAGTATTTCCTGTAGTTTGGTGGCCTAACTGTAAAACAGGATTTATTTTAACTGACAATGGGTTTTTGATCATATGGTTCTACTGTCATGTTTAACTTCAAAGCCATGACACTTCTAATTATGAAAATATGTGATATACATTCAAGGACACCACTTTGGTTTGTCAATAAGCCATTGTGATAGCTTTAAAAGACAGGGAGATTACCTTTGTAACGTATTAGGAGCTGTTTAAAAGTTAACTGCTGGTCTGGGACTGAATCCTTGACAGTCGTGTCATCCTGGATAAGGCCAGCATGCCTCAGATCCTCCTCTACTTCTTCAAGAGCAGTTCTGCTGTGTCTTGCTCTAAGTTTCTCATTAGAACCATGCTTTATGTTTCGCCTATATGGACTACCATCCTCTAAGACATATCTGAATATGAGCAGAGAATTCAAGCATTTGGAAAGAAGTTGCTTTTAGTCTCCTTTGAACTGTTAATATGAGAAGCTGACATACCTATCACCATGGTATATAAAAGCCTTACAAATTTATAATGAAGAATGAGTAGGCCCTAAGTTCTTATTTCTGTCACTCTTAGGAGCAAGTACTAGAAATTCAACTTTACACTTATGTTTCTGTTCTTTCATCACCCATTCCAAAACCAGGCAGAGCAGTAATTGAAATGCAATAAGCTTTGTTGGGTATATCTTGCTTTTTATTCTGAAGCAGATGAAATTTTTGGTTGCTCTAAACTCTTGGGTAAAGAGGTTCCTGAGTAGCTGACTGACTGCCAAAAAAGGCCTCATCTGCAGCTCACAGCAGTCTTTCTTTGCATAACGGCTCACTGATTTTGAGGTTCAGAACTACCTTGGTGGGGTATTGGTGGCTGTGACAGAGGTGCTCTGAGATACCTAGGAGATGGTCCACTGAGTATTCCCAAGATTACAAATTGGATCCCATGGTTCAACACCCAGCCAAATGCTACAGCAACTAAACTGTGGGCAATTCACAACTGACTGAATAGCTTTCCATCTGAAACAGGACAGCTGGGAGTGACTCTGCAGTTACATCTGACAAGAAGAATCCTTGTCTAGTCCATTGACATGACATAAAGTTAAGAAAAATTCTTTACATAGCAGCCTGTGTTTACTTTGTTTTTTACCCTCAGCACTGTAGTCTACCTTTATGTTTGTGTTACAAGACATCTAAGAACTACTAAAGATTTGTGAGATGATGCCAATATATTTGTGAGTGCTACTGAATATATGATAGTAATGTATTACCACATGTTTCACATTTTGACTTTCTAGCTAAGGAGAAATTTTTCAGCTGAATTTTGTAAGCTTCTCCATAAGTTTAATGGGACAGACCATCATTGCACGGCCTTCTTGCACTGGAAGAGCAGCTCTCCTGCCAGCCTGAAAGTGTTGGTGGTCAGATTAAGAAGGAGTTCATGCTAAGCCTACACTCATATCCAGCTTGAAATTCAGATCTAATCTGTGCAACTTCCAGCAATGTTAAATATTGTAATGTATGTTAAGACCTATTTCAATGTTTTTGGTTTAAACTTAAACAGCATCAAAGATGCCTCAAACTGAAGGAGTTTCCAAAACCCTGGTCTATTCAAATCTTTCCAGTGTTTGGATCTGTTGTGTTGGAATAGGAGTTGAAATGCACAATAAAGAATATCATGGAATTGCACCTATAAAAAAAAGACAGGTCACAAACTGCAATAAAGACATGACCTTAAATAAAAGAAGGTCCAGAAGACTGACAGCACTTGAGAACTGGTAACTTTTCAGGGTGGGACCATTTCTAATTGTTGTTGATCTTTGCAGTGTCTAGTGCAATGTGCCCAATTCTTGACTGTGACCTTTGAACGGTCCTAGACTACAAGCAGAGGTATAGTTTTAGAATAAACAGCATCATCAAATATTGAGGTCTCAGATTACAGGTAAGAATCAATAAAATACGATTATTAATTTATATGCAGAGCTAATATAAAGTCAATAGATTACTAGCCTAAATATTAGAACTCCAAAAACCAATTACTTCTAAGCATACTGCCAGAAATTTCATACCTCGTCATCGCAATCACATCTTCTAGAAAAAACTGATCCACAGGAAATGTTCGACCTACAAAGAAATGTAAGAACAATAAAACAACATGCAAACTATTATTTTAGATATGCATGCAGAAGGATGGGGAATAAATTTTACAATTTCTTATGCTGGTTTCACAACTTTTTCAATTTCTGTGACCATATGAATAGGGACCTACTTAATTTGTAGCTTCATGGATTTTATGGAAACCACAAGAAATGACAAAAAAAACCCCCAACTTAATAAAAATAAAATGCTGGCTCCCCAGTGGGAGCCACTGGTCCTTGCTGCCTGGAGGTGGGGCAGCACAAAGGGCAGCAGATAAGTTGGCGGCCACCCCTTCGTCACACCCCACTGAGGCGTCACTGCCAATCAGTGCCAAAAGGCAGGGTGGCACAAAGGGTAGCCAGCAATCAAAATGGCAGCTGCCCCTTCATCCGTCTGCTTCCTTGGGGCCCCTCTGCCAATCAGTGTCAGGGGGCAGGGCCATCACAAAATGGCTGGGGAATTAGAACTCTGTCTAATGACAAAGACAAAGTGAAAATGGAGAAGTACCCCTGTGATTTAGGTAGACTATGAGGAGTCTGAGGCTTCTTTAAGATCCATCCTGCAGACCTTAACAATACTGTGCCAAACAGATGGCAGACCATTTCCAAGAACGTTTTGACAGCATGCAAGAAGCAAGGCTTGTTCGGAAATATTTTCTCCTTGACTAAACTATACATTTGGGAGAGATGTTAGACAAGCTTTGGGGCCTGAGGAAAGGTATTTTATGCCTGAAAGCTTGTCTAACTAACTCAAACTATACAGTTAGTCCAATAAAAGATGTTACCAACCAAACCTTTCTTCTCATACATTCCCTAGACCAGGGGTGCTCAAACTTTCCCCCAACAAGCGAGATGGCCCAAGATTGGTTTTCTTGCCATTCTTGGCTCTTGTGCAGTTGAATTCCAAAGCTGTAGACCGCAGACCAAATAGACTTTGTTTTCATTGTTATAGAGCAGCGGTTGTCAACCAGGGGTACGCAACCCCTGGGGGTACTTGGGAAAGCCCCAGGGGGTATGTGGCAGCACTGCAGAAAAGCAGGGCCACTTCTGGTTTTGCCACTGCCCACAGAGACCCCCTCCACCCCCGTTCATCAACTGGCTGGTGGACTCCCTACTTCTTGACCAGCCACCTAGAGTACACCAACCAAAAAAGGCTGAAAAAACCCTGTTATAGAAAGTTCATCATTCTGAGGACTGCAGGTCAGGTTGTGCATAAAAAAAGTCAGGCCCAGCTCATTATGAATTCTGACAACCCAAACCAATACCTTAAATATGTGACCTAGTTTTAGATGGGCTACAGTGAAGTAACTGGAGCACCAGACAGCGGTAATCTTTGATCTGTATTGATCAGCAGGGGTTATTCTGTATTGCCTAATCTGAAGTTTTGCTGCCTATGATTTAATTGTGTGGCAATACTCAAAAGCCTAGACACCGCAAATGTGATTAAGTCTGCATCTGAGATCTCTTGGCTAGCTGATGGTGGCCCAACAGTATCATTTCTCCTTTCCCTTGGTTCAGTTTCTACTACTTCATTTTCATCCAAGCCTGGTGTTAACTAGCAGATCTCATCTGATAGTTAAGCAGTCATCAGTTAATGTTCAAATCAAAGTCTTATAAATTGCACATTTACTAAGCAGGATGTCTGACAATAAAAGTCTCAGTCTTGGTATTCTAACTACTGAGATGTAGAGTCTGAGGGCGTGCATGCAGCCTGAGATTGTGGTTCCTAAGAAAGGAAGATTTACCTAATACTGCTATAGGAATCAACCCCTACTGTTCATAAAACAGCAACATTAAATTAAACTTTTAAGGAGGCCCTCACAGTCAGATGAAAATTTAGGTGAAATGGGGTATAATCAAGGAAAGCTATAGAGATTGAAATAAGATCTATTAATATATATTAGTATGTCTTGGCTAAAATTACTAACAAAAGAATAAAAAAGAGCACTGAACATACATCCAACACAATGATGTTTCCCAAACTTCGTAAAATACAGCAATGCTATCAAGTTGGTCTTACAGTACCCTTTCTCACTGGCCTGGACAGTGCTGTTAACACACACCTCCTTCCTGCTCATATGTCATTTTTCAACAAAGCTGAAGGCAAACTAGGAAATAATTATGGTGATGGGCAACTAAAAAAAAAAGAGAGAGAAACCACAAAACTGTTTTTCACCTGGTATGTTAATAATTGGACACGAGTTATAGTACTGGGAGAAAAGCTCAGCATTCAAGGTGGCACTCATCAGTATGATATGCAGGTCTGGTCTCTGAACTATTATATCCTTCAAAACCAGCAGCAAGAAGTCACTAAAGAAAACAAGCAAAAGACATTTGAACTTCAATGCTGGTTTTCGAACCCATTTCCCCCCTTGTTACTCTGTTCACTTCCATGGAATTCTCCTGAACATGACACTACCAGCACCAAAACAAGCTTCACCCACAAGAGTACCCCTATGGTGAACAGCCTCCAGCTATTAATTTGGTAAATTACTATAAGTAACCTAACTTTTGCTTGTCCCTTTCAAGAATTTCTGGATTACTTAGTACATATTTGAATAATAACTCTAGGACTCCTAAAAATTAAGCTAAGACTAGCATAAGAACAAGTATCCAACAGTGTTAAATATCAATAATGGATTAACTCAAGCAGAGAACAAATCAAAGCAGCAGACAAGTCCTTTTTAGGCCTTACTCAAGAACTTTACAGATTGGAGAAAGCAATCTAGTCACAGATGATGAGCACAGTTGGCAGCAAAGATAAGGAAGGAGTCAAATGGCTTAGAGTAATAGCAGAACAGATCAGGGATTACTTAGAGAAGATAGAAGCTGTCAAATCAGCAGGGCTAGATGGGATGCACCCTAGGACAGTCAAGGAATTTGCTGAGTTAATTTTGGAGTCGTGGGCTATCCTCTTTGTGAACTCATGGAGGTCAGGTAAGGTCCTGGATGATTGGAAAAGGGCAAATATAGTGCTCATCTTTAAGAAAGGGAAGGAGGAGGATCTGGGGACTTACAGACCAGTAAGTCTGATCTCAATACATGGAAAGACCATGGAGCAGGCCCTCAAGGAATTACCCAGAGAACAAGGTGATCAGGAACAGCCAGCATGGATTCACTAAGAACAACATGCCTGACCAACATGACTTCGTTCCATAAGGTGACAAGCTCTGTGAATGGAAGGAAGATAATGGATGCAATACATACCTTGACTTTAGCAAAGCTCTTGACACCATCTCCCATTATGTTCTCATTAACAAACTAAGGAATGCAGAGTAGATGAGAGTACTGTAAGGCGGATCCATAACTGGTTGGATCATTGTGCTCACAATGAGTAGTCATCAATGGCTCAATATTAAGGCAGGAAGAGGTATCAAATGGGGTTTCCAGGGGTCTCTCCTGGGTCCAGTACTGTTTAATATCATCATTAATGATTTTGGATGATGGGGATCAAGTATACACATAGCAAATTTGCAGATGACACCAAGTTGGGTGGAATCACAAATGCTTTGGAGGGTATAGACTGGAAAAATTGTCCACAATCAATCAGATGACATTCAACAAGAATAAGCGCAAAGTCCTGCACTTAGGATGGAATAATTTCATGCACAAATACAGATTGGGGAATAAGTGCCTAGGCTGTAATATTGCAGAAAAGGACTCAGGAGGTTACAGTAAACCATAAGCTGAATATGAGCCAACAGTGTGCTCTGGTTGCAAAAAAGATCAACAGTGTACTGGGCTGTATTAACTGGAATGTCTCTTGCAAATCAAGGGAAGCGGCTCTTCCACTATACTCAGCACTGGTAAGGCCTCACCTGGAGCACTGTTTTCCGTTTTGGGCCCCACACTTCAAGGAGGATGTGGACAGATTGTAAAGTCTAACAGAGAGCTACAAAAATTAGAGGCCTGGGAAAGATGACTTATGAGGAAAGGCTGAAAGAGCTAGGGTTATTTAGTCTCAAGAAGACTGAGGTGTGATTTGAGAACAGTCTCCAAATACCTGAAGGGCGATTACAGAGAGAATGGAAATGGGCTTTTCTCTGTGGTCACAGGGGACAAGACCAGGAACCATGGTCTAAAGCTGCAGCAGAGGAAAGTTAAGTTTGAGATTAGAAGGAACTATGAGGGTGGGTCAAGCATTCGAACAAGTTATCTAGAGAAGCTGCAGAATCTCCATCCCTGGAAATTTTGAAGAACAGGTTGGACAGACACCTGGCCAGGATGGTTTAGTTAGGGATGGTTCTGCCCTGAGCAGGGGGACCTACTCCCTTTCAGCATGCCAGCTGGTAAATGGGATCAGATTGGGCAAGGCTGGACTAAGGATTAAAGCTGAAGGCAGGAGTCAGGTGAATCAAGAAGTTCCCTATTGGAACAAGCTGGAAGAAGGGAGTCCAAGCTCCATTTGGAGCCTGCTGCTTAAGTACACAGGGGTCTTTATAGCCAAGCGATGACTTCCAGAGGGGATATGGAAAGAACTAGGGCATTTGGGGAGCAGCAGGCAGAAATGTGGAAGGGACAGTATCCTAAGGAACCCAGATCATGATGAGGCTTGTTGAAATTAAAAAATCCTATTGCCCCTCCAAGACCCATCCTAAATTATCTTAGGAATGTAATAGCAATTGTGACAACTGACTGGAGGTATATCTGTGGAATGCTGCCAGGTGCTTTCTGTTCAACTGCACAATCCTTTAGTCCACTGGGATAAGGACAGTAGGATCAGAAGCCAGTTTCTCCCTGTGGTTGTCCATGATGCCACCCCACCAGTTCAAACTGGCTAGAAGCATTTGAATTTCAGCAGCATGTTCTCAATGCTAACTTTCAGTTATGAAAAAAAACAGAATTATTTACCTTTCTTCTGTTCTTTCATGAACTTCATCAATAAGAACATGGGTGATTCCCTGTAAAGTCATGTCTCCTTCTAGTCTTCTCAGCAGCACACCAGTAGTGCAGTACAACAACCTGGTAGCTGAAGACTTGAGCAGCAAGGCAAGGATACAAAGCATTCAATGAAATGACAGTTAAATAGCTTTACTTATACAATATATAAAGAGCAGACAATGCGGTACCATGCTCAATCCCACATGCCTGGCAATTTGGCTCATAAGTGAACAAACAGCTGCAGGTAGGAAAGCACAATTTTTCCTCCTAACTTTACTCTTAAAACTTTACAGCAGCTAGTTTTTATCAAGGAACAGTTTGGGGAAAGAATGAAAAAGATAAACTAACTCAATCTCATTCTTTCCTGCTTCAGCAACTGTATGTTTGACCATTAACTTCCTTCATTAAAATTAAGAGAGATTGTGACAGGGATGAGACTGGCTCTGAAAGAACAGAACAAGATGTATTTCTCACCTCTGTTCAGCTCACTAATGAAAAATAATAGACTTGTCCAGGACGCATACTTTATACCACAGGTCAAAAGGAAAAAGAGCTGTGATTATAATCAGTCACTGAAAACAGAAAGTGACAGCAAGGCTAAAACTACAAGCTTTAAATTGTGAGAGAAGAACATTCCCTTGAAAGCCAAAAATTAAATTCTTAGCAAAACTATTGAGTCATTGCAAATGAATCCATTGTGTTGTATGTAAAAGTTAATTATATTTTTTTCAACTGTTTAGCCTCAAGTCTTTAAGAGTTTTAATTTTTCAGTCTTCTCTACTGTCTTCAGCAAATTGTCAATGAGAAATGTATTACTCAAAACTGATCACAGAAGAGGAGGAATGACAAGTACAATTTTTAAAAAGTGATGCTTTTTAAAGAAAGAAGTTGTAAAAGGGGGAACAGATTAAACAGAGAATTTCACCTCTAACACCCAACTTAAACTCAACTCACACTGTTGCAAACTGAATTTATATTCTTCAATTTCTGCCTAGTGGCCTGGCAGTAAATAATTCAGTGGTCTCAGCCAGTCCCCATGGACACTGATATTAAAATAAAACAAAAACAAAACATACAAAAAACTACTGTTAAGTCTCAGGTCCCAGGAGGCTCTGTCAGGAAAGGGGCTAAATAATGAATGAATATTGAAGTTACCACCTTATCTTGGTAAGTGAAGCCTAAAGTGTGCACTGAGGCAAAATGGCAGCGTAGCATGAGAAAGCACACACTGAAATTTGCCATTCAGTAACATGTTCTTGTTGATAAAGGATTAACATCTCTAGGACAGCAAGTCTGACTCCTTGTACAAGTACTAAGACCATTTTTAATAAACTAAACTAAAACACAAGAAAAGGATATGCACCTTCACACTCTCTAAGCGGATCTGGTATCCAACAGTAACACCAACTCTTTCTGTTCTCTCCTTGGCTACACGTTCAGCTACAGAAATAGCAGAGATCCGGCGAGGCTGAGTACAGATGACATTGGCTACTCTATTTGGAGGACCTTCCAATGAAGCATCCAATATAAACTGTGGAATCTGAGTGGTTTTCCCACATCTGCATGGAAAAATAACATGGATTTAGTTTTTTTTAAAAAGTCTTTCCTCAGCAGGAGTTAAGAGGGCTGACTCTTATTTTGAATTACTATTTTTTTAAATTTGTGCCACACCTTCTATAAAATTAATCTATGGCTACAGTACTTTAATCTGAATGAATTTTGAACCTGGTCACTTTACCTTTTCAGACTAAGCTATATAACTAAGCTTGTATAACTACATATGCTTTCCTGTGTATTATTTATTATTCCAAACCTATATATAAAATCATATTCTTACCCAGTCATACCACTCACAACAAGCACTTGGTGTCTTTGCAACATATCAAGAATGTTTTCACGTTCTTGCCACGCAGGAAGCTTCTGTCTTTCTAGCAACAGGGACTGGAAGTGCCTAGAAGACTGACAAACAATAACGAAGAGAAACTGAACACTCTAATAAGAAGAGTCTTGGCCTAGATCCATCCATTTTAATGGCAAAGAGGATCACTATAATAATTCAGTCTTCATAAAATAGGCCAAAGAACTTAACAAAACCAATTCCTGTATCTTGGAGTACCTGTATTCTTACCTTGTAGTTAAACAAGAAAAAATTTAACACTACTACCTGAACTTCAAAGACAGAATCGTGTCCCACCTCCTGAGCTCCCCACAACACATGTGACAATCTTGTACTCTCAATGCCTGCAACTGCGATATAAATACTATCAAAAGACCTGAACACACATAACAGACTCCAATGTAGTTATCCCAGGAAAAAAAACAGCAGTAAAAATATGCTGGTTTAACTTACACTAGCATAGGTGTTGTGTCTACAATTATCCCAGGTTAGCCATTTGCTCAATATGATTGGGCTATTCTACTCCTGAAGAGTTGTAATAGGCCCTATCCCAGCAGCTGCCCTTATTACCTGTCCACTCTGGATCTGTATAATTTACATCAGAATACAAACATGTTTGTGTGTTGTGTCCAGGCTCTAAAACAATGATTTCCTTACCACAATCTGAAAATGACTACTAGCCTGCAGAACCCTTCAGCTGACCCACAAAAGCAATGTAAAAGAAAGAAGGCTGCTACCATATGAAGTCTACAAAACGAAACAGCTAAAAAATCCTATAACCTAACCAAAGTTTGCCTACATAGCAACTGTTTGTAGGTCAGGTATGGCTTCCCGAAGAATACAGGTGGTTAAGGAGCCACTGTCATTCAGCCAGTGGGATGGAACCCATGTAAGCAGAGTTTCCTTCCCTGAAGGGCAGGTTACAAACTAGACCTCTACAAGTTATGAAGCCTCATTGTGAAAACAGAAAAGGAAGAATTACTCACGACATGAGCCAGGTAAGTCTCTTTTGGGCATAGACTACATCTTCAGAGAGTGTATGTTTGCACAGCATCTAGCACATGCTGCCCTAACTTACTTTGGATTCTATTGTATTATAAAAGTTAAGTAGCAGCACACAAAAAAACCCAAATCAACAACGTCCACTTTTACAGCACAAAAGAGGATTCTTTTACTTTCTTTATACTGAGCAGTCTGAGGACTGATCCTTATACATTTAGTTACAGAATTGCATCTGCTGTTATTTTTAGAAATGCACAATATGTACAAGTATTCTCAGCAATCTCTGATCTCCTGGATAAATAAATATGTTTACACTTATTAGCTGACAGTTCTAAGATGAAGACAGCAGAAGACAGTTACAGCTTTGCTACTCAGGCCCAGAAGAACTCCATACCGTGAGGACAGAGCTGATTTGTGCAGAAGACAGAACTTTGTAGGGGGCTGGTCCAATACTATGAAATTAACTCTGCCAGGTTCTGACAGCCATCACAATACAAATAAAAGTAAGATACATTTCTTTGGCTGCTGCCTTTTTTCACAGATAAACAACAAATGTATATTTTAAAAGAAAACAAACTCTGTCAAAACAAAATATTCCACTGAACTTGCATCTTCACCTAGGGAAAGAATAAGAGACCAAGCAACATGCAACAGCTGTTAGACACCTTGCTGTCTGCACTAGCGGAAGGCACTTGGATACTATAGGAATATATCCATGAGAACCTTGCAGAGCAGAATTGCTTGTTAAGTACAATTTAAGAACTATTATGTTAAAGCCAGAATTGACATGACTGTTTTTCCATTTCTATACTATACCTTTTTTATTCGGAATTGCTTGCAGATTTTAACATTTTCATTATACAGAGACTTCGCCTGCATGTCATACTTCCTGGACAGGTTCTTTTTGAGGTTCACATAACTTTCATTCTCCACAACAACTGATTCAGGTTCCTCTTCCTCTTCCTCCTCAGGTTCTGACTCCTTTGTGACTTGAGAGATAAAATTAATTTATTATTAATTTGTACTACCATAGCACCTAGAAGCCTTTGTCACAGGCCTAGAATCCATTGTGACAGATGCTGTAGAACAAAGGTGTCAGATACACCTCATGGAGCCATGTCATCTGTTCCAAAGAGCTGGAAATCTGGTGGCAGGGCAAGTACCCAGAGCCACAGCAACCACTGTTCATCTCACTACCAAATTTCCAACTTGCAGGCAGCAATTTAGGTCAGGCACAGAGCCATGGCATCTGGCCCATAGAGCCACCTGCAGGTGAGAAATTTGGCAGCAAGACAAACACCAGTTGCTATGGCTCTGGGACCCATAGCAATTAATACTGCTGCCACTTGCCTTTCCACCAAATGCCCAGTACCATGAACCAGGTGACATAGCTCCAGGCTGCAGGTCCAGTGCATTGACTGGCCCCACACTACTCATCTGGCCCCGCTGTAGAACACTGTTGTAGTTTGACAGCCTTGCTGTAGAACTATAGAAGTGGACAGCTGCAGGGGAAAAGAAGCAAAGAGCAACAGGAATGTTAACCTGCACTGATGTGCCATTACGGGCCATTCACTCTGGCTGTCTGAGCCACACTTGGTCCACCATTGGAGGTTAAGCACCCCCTAAACTAGGAGATGGTTTCTACTCCCAGGGAACGTACAGTCTAAAACTCTTAATGCTCAATTCTCTGCACAGATTGAGAATTGCACAATTCTGAAGTCTGAGATACTCTACATCTGGTCTTCAAGCACTGCAAGACACATTACTAGATCATAGCCCAGATCCTCAAAAGGTATTTTTAGGTGTTGACATCTACTGATTTTTGTGGGTGCATCTACATGTGCAATTTACTGATGGGTTGAATAATTAGCTCCACAGTAAAGTGTTACCGTCCACACAAGTGCTAGTATCGGGGTACAGTAAATTAATTAACTCTGCCATAAGACAGACAGTACTATCTTACAGCAGAGTAATTAACTGCAGTCAAATACTCACGTGGACATGACTGCCAGGTGCAAGTTATGCTCAATCAGCCCAACCAGTTGGGGACCAGAACCCCAGCTCCTGCCAGTCCCCCTGTGGCCCAATGCTGACATCCAGAGCCCAGAGCTGACCCTTATGCCCCCTGCCAGACCAGGGCTGCTCTGCCATGGCTCTGATTGCTGGTGTCCTGGACACATGGGTAGATGCTGCATCTGTGAGCAGTCAACTTCAACGTGAACTGCTCCAGAGTTTATTGCATTGTCTTAATTGCAAAAGTGGATGCACCCAATGGCACCTTAACACCTTTGAGGATCCTACTTTAAATAAGCCGATGACCTGATAAAGATAGTCTGGTATTACCAGAACTATAAGCAGGTATCTTAGAACATAGATACCCATATGAAGTTTCAGTTCCCTACCCTCTACTAATTCCTCTGTAGAGCTGTTTAAAAAAAGTCATCTAAACTTTTTTTGGGGGAAAAATGCAACAGGAAAATGATACTGCTACTCCTCACGTGTTAAAAACATAATGTAGTTGTTATCGCTCAAGTTTCCTGAGAAAGCTCATCTTAGGGCAAGGGTGTTAAATATACTGCCCACAGACTGGATCCAACCTGTGGAGTTGGATCATCCAGCCCACATACTTTGCCCGGACCCTGGTTGGGATGGAGGATCTTCCAGGGTAGCGGCCAAGAGTCTGGGTGAGAGCCATGGTGCTGGAGCACCAGCAGCCCCACAGGATCAAACCTAGCACCATGGTTTGGGTCCTGTGGTGGCACCCAAGCACCTGTGATACCAGGCTTCTTGTGGTGCTGCTGGGGCTCCAGCACAACTGCTCTTGCCTGGGTTTTTGCCTGCCACCACAGGAAGAAGCAGCAGTGCCCAGCTTGTTCCATGGTGTTGCTGCAGCTCTAGCATTGCAGTTCTTGCCCAGACACTTGCCTGCTGCCATGGGATGAAGCTGTGGTGCCTGGCTTGTTCCTGCAGTGCTGCTGGGGATCTACAGCCAAAATTCGTATTTGCTTGGCTGCCAAGCACTTGAGTAAAAGAGTAGTGCTGCAGCCCTGGCAGCACTGTGGGATGAGAAGCCTGGCACAGGCTTGGTTTGGTCCTGCGGTGATAGCCAAACATCTGATACATTGGGCTTCTTCCTCCCAGACATCTGATCAGCTTGAGTGGGTGACACATGTGGCACCCATCCCAAATTGTCTGGAATAGACCAGCATGCATGGGAAAGGGAGGGAATGGCTATGGGCCTGTGCCATTCATCTGCCCCTTGGACCAGTCCCACACCACTCATCTAGCCTGTGACCAGATGAGTTTGATACCTCTGCCTTAGGGAAAAAGACCTTTTAAGGGAAGTTACAGCAAAAAAACTGAAAGCTTTGGAAAACTGTGGGCAATTCAAAACAAGGGGTTAGAATGCCATCCTAATTATAAGGGGAGGTATCTTTCTGCTAAATAATTGCACAGCTCTACAAACTTTAAGTTTCCCCTTGCATAATCCATCCATCCCATACACATACAATGTTCCAAAACTGGTCAGCAACAGGAGATGCCCGTTTTCCTCAAAATACAATTTCCTGTCGGGTTTTGAAACTTCGGAAGCTCATGATGTCTCTTCCATGGCCTTAGTGCTCTAGCCACTGCTATATTAGAACCATACTATATTAGCCATGCTCATTTGCTCAACACTTGCCATGTCTGCCCCTGTTTACTCATCCTCTGCAAAGAAAAAATCCCCTTGTACATAGAAAAAGACTCCCCAAAGCAAATAGATTAAGGGCTTTGTTTGTGGCATGCCCTTAAACCACCGCCAGATCTGAAACAGAACCCAGATATCTGAACTTCACCCCAGATCTCTCATTTAACCTCTAGACCAACAATTAGCAAACTTTAAAGAGTGGTGGGCTGAATTAGCACAGATTGCTTTATAAGTGGGCTGTCACTTCCAGCCTGGCTATCATTCCCCCTGCTGCCACTGTACTTCCAACTCAGACCCTGATGTCCTGACATAATGTGACTCACTGCTAAACTGCTATCAACGTCAAACGTTTTCAAGACCAATGAAAATTGCTCCCCAAACTTGATCTGGACTGCAGGGCATAGACTGCTGATCCCTGCTCTAGACCAGGAGTCGGCAACCTACAGTCCATGAATAGATTTTATCCAGTCCAACAAGAACACCAAAAGATACTGTCATGGAAGTTGATGCAACTCACCTTCAGTAAGTTTTGCATGAGAATGCACCATCTAGTACCAGAATATCTAACAACTGCTGCCTCCAGCTCGCCTTAAGACCAAGCTGTGTTAATTTGATCCACTGTTAAAGAAAGGTTGCCAACCCCTCCTCCAGACTGTATTCCCACTGCCATAAACCGAACACCAAAGAAGAAACATTTCCAACACTGCACATACCTTCCAAAATCTGAGTTACAACAGATGAATTATCTGGAGATGTTGGCTTACAAATGTCTGTGTGCGTTCCGCTGGAGGGTACTGCCAGCAAAGACAAAGGAGGAACACTATACTTGTGGAAAGTATTACTAAGTAACTTGGTTATTTCAGATTCATCTTCCAAACAGGTTATTAAAGCATACACCACTGGTTCACTAGACTCTGCAGCTTCTAGGGCCTTTTCATAGAGATATTCAGCAATATGTAATCGACAAGCCAGAGGTAGATTCTCATTCGTAGAATAAAAAGCCACAACAGGTGCCTGGAGTGGGTATTTGTTATCCTCAGAAAATCTTATTTCCAGCTCATACAAGGGAGAGGTGTTATAATTCAATCTCAGATGAGCATCATCTACAGAACTCTGTGCTGTTTTTAGCAAGTGTTTTGGAGGAGTTTCATGCTTAAATTTGCATCTTGAGCCAAACCTGCATCCTCCTTTGAGGTAAAATTTACATAAGTTGTTTAAAGTCTCTTTTGCCACATCTTTGGCAGAACTGTGCCTCTGTTTGGATTTGCTGAGTTTGAGTGTTAGGTACTCCAGGTCCAATCCAATAGCCCACACTCGGTTTTGAATTCTTTCTACAAATTTTTCTCCACAGATTGAATGGAGAGCAAAAGCTTCTTCTTGTCTCTGTTCCAGGCATTCTTCCCTGCTGGCTTGAGCTGCTGCTTCAGACATTTTCATCCTATCTCCATACCTTTCTGAGAAGCACTGCAACAGCAAGTGTTCCAGGGATGCCCCAATGTTACCATTGCAGGATCGCAGTATTGCCCGACAATGCTCACTATCAAACCCATACCTATGGCAGAACAAAAGAAATAATGCACAAATATGAGGCACAAAAGATACATGATATGAAGTAATCCCAAACATATTTGATTATTCCCATTTAATATAAGCTTATATGGAATCATTACACTTCAAAATAAACACAAACTAATTTCACTAGTTTCTTGGAAATAACTGAAGCCATCCAAATGCAGTAATTAAAACATTTCACTGCTGCAAGGATAGGACATCTTTTCATGAACTGTTATTCTAAAATCTTTCAGTGAATAAATGACCTAACAAAAGCCAACCCTATTATTAACTTTCTACCTACAGAACCTTCCCTGAAGTCAATGGGGAAGCTCCATGACTTGAAGGCTCACCATATCAGTCATATGGTAATTTGCCTGTTGGGTTATAAACATTACTTACCATAAAAGGACTCACCTGGAAAGTTTATGCACAGCAAATGCAGACACCTCGCTTTCTAAAATTTTGTGCTCTTCTGGTTCAGAAGACAACCTTGTAGTTATTTCAGAAGCTTCTTGGTCTGCTGACCAGTATTGCTCATCATCATCAAGGTAATCAGGTTCATCGCAATCTTCCTCACTAGTGGCAGCCATTCTGATAAAGACAGTTATTAAATTCAAATGTCATAAAATGGTGGTGTTGATCAGATACAAAACTGAACCCCTGGGTTATACAGAAACTTCTACCTCTCTCTCTCACTCTCACTGATTTAATGGTGTGTGAGAAAGAAGAGGATTCAGAAGTATTTTTTTAAATTTTTTAAATTAAAGTAATTTTTTTTAAAGTGAAGTAAAGTGTACAGTGAAAATGTAGGAAAAATACTGCTTTCCTTTATAATAGCACATCTGTTAAAATTAGCTTATAGGAAAGAACTACTCAGGTGCAGTTTTTTTTTTAATTTAAACTAACTCTGAGGTAGCAGCCAGCTCTTGCCCTTGGAGTTCTCGGAGAAGCTCTTTCACTCTTCGCTGATTGTCAGATGTCATGTGTATGGTCTGCAAAGGCATCCTCGTCTCAGGTCCCTGTCTGGTTTGCCTACTTTTGTTAACACAGCTTGATCTAAAAAGTAAACACACACACACCATACGTTTATATACAAAACAGAAGTTAAATAGATCAAATGCATACATCCAAAAAAGGTACATAATACTAACAACTACAAGCATAAAAGAACATTAAAAAAACAGAGAAAAGTGTGACGCTGCTAACATACAACCTCAAGAGGATTCTCAGTTGTTTTTATTTGCTGGGCAGTATTTTACATAGCCTACTTTGTTCTGAGATCAAATCTTCAGCGTTTTCATGTAATGTTAACCAAATAAAAGCATCAGAAGGTTATAGCACAGCCAAGCATGCTTAAGTATACGATAGCTAGAACACCTTTCAGGTAACAAATCTGACAAGTCTGCATATACACTATTATACACAAATAAATGTAAAGCTTCTCCGTTTATTATTTGATTTATATGCCACCCTTTCTGGCATGCATCTGCAGTAAAACATACTTTAAATTCAATTAAAATTTTAAAAAGTAATTTTAAAGTATTGGCAATGCAAGGTGCCAGGAAGAGTTCCGTACTGGGAATATATATTTTAATAGTAACAAAAGAAATTTTTTTTCCTAAATAGTTACAAAGTTACTTGTGAAATTAAACCTGGATACAAGACCTATTCATTCTTCTTTCTAATACCTGTACTCTGCATTTACTAGCAAAGGGACTGCTGTAGACCTACGGCAGCACAGGCACACCTGTCCAACCAGAGGCAAAATGTCACTACAAACAGCAGCACATGTAATTCCTAGGGAACTGAGCATGGGGCGAGAAACCAGGAGGTGCTACATCTTCTCCTGTTCTACATGAGAGGTGGATATAACTTTTTTCTCCTGACCCTCTCTAGCCCCCAGAGTGAGACCAGAACTGTTCTCTGGAACTCATATATTCATCTTTAGGAACAAATCTAGTACTGGTCTAATCATCTTAAAAGTTCCATTTGTGAATTATGACTTAACTAAGTATAATGGCTAATTGGGAATATTTACTTTGCTCTCCTGTGAAAAGTTATCTTCATAATAATGTTCTCTAAGAAGAGGCAACAAGTACTAGCATAACATTCTAACACGTGACAGAATCTCTTATTTAATAATCTATAAAACAGAGCCTGGATTTCTGTTAAAGGAAGATTGCAGTATTGAAACTAATTGAAAAAAGTGACACACACTGTACCTGACCTATGTTGCTATAATAAAAATGATTTACATACACAGCTTCAATCTGAACAGCAGACTGCCCCATCTCTTGCTCAGTAATGCAAGGAAGTTATAATTCTATGTTTATCACAGTCTTTGCAAAGAAGTTATTTGTGAAGCTACAGCTTAAGCTACAGGTGGGCAATTATTTGGGACCGAGGGCCACAAAGGGAGCTTCAATCAACTGCCACAGGCAGGGTCAGTGGTAGGCAGGGGGCCCTGGCTCTGGGAAGTGCTCAGCTTCTGGCGGGAGCGTTCCCAGCCCTGCTGCAGCCGGACAAGTTCACATCGTGAAGATTGGTGCAGGGGTTTGGGGGGAACTGTACCCCAAATTTTTGAAAGCCAAACTCATGTCACAGCTGCGTGTCACACCACAGGGCGTGAAAACTGCAGGGCTGGTAGCTCTTATGGAGGCCACAAAGCCTGACAAGTTTCAAAGAGATCGGTGCAGGGGTTTGGGGGGGAATTGCACCTCAAGCTGCAGACAAGCAAAACTTGTGCCATGGGTGACACTGCGTGTGTTAAGGCACAAGCAGGGTGACAGCTGCAGGGATGGTGGCCCCTGCTAAGGCCATGATGCCTGCCAGCTGTCAAGGAGATCGGTTCGGGGGGTTCTGGGGCCCTGCACCCCCAGCTGTTGACAGGCAAAACTGGTGCCAATACTGTGTCTTGGGGCTGTTGATTGTCTGTATTGATTCTTTCCTCTCCTTAGCCTGGTTTTGTAGGTGCTAATTGATGCTCGTTAAGTCATTAAGAAGTAGCTAGGTCCTGTGTATTGAGCTGGTCCCTGAGTCCCTGTGAATCATGATTGATTGGTAACTGGTAACACAGTAGCTCAGCAGCCAGGCCTGCAGTAGTGTCTCCCCAGCCCACCCCAAGACAGACACAGTCCCACAAGCACCCACAGCACAAGTTTTGCTTGTCTGCATCTTGAGGGGCAGTTGCCACCAAACCCCTGTACTGATCTTCTTGAAACTTGGCAGGTTTTGTGGCCTCTGTAAGAGCTACCATCCCTGCAGTTTTCACCCTGCTATGTTGTAACGCCTAGACACGACATGAATTTTGCTTTCAAGAATTTGGGGTACCGTTCCCCCCAAAGCCCCTCCACCAATCTCCTTGAAACTTGGCAGGCTTCATCCTCTCTGCAAAGTCTAGCACCCCTGAAAATTTCTTCCAAATCAGGCAAAAAACAACAAAGTTATAGATACTTTATTGTTTCCCCATTATACCCTATGGCCAGATCTCCAAGGCAGCTTCTAAGCACTTTGGAAGCTCTGAACCTCTTTGGGAAGCCTAACGAGGCCAGCGCTTTGACCTGGATGTGTTGCTTTGGATCCCAAAGCATCCAAAGCTTCTCCAGATCCGAAGCTCTGTCTGAAGCCTTGCACAGCCCTACGAACTGGCTGTAGATGCACTGGGAACAACCCCACTGGAAGCTGTGCACAGGCCACAGCCTGGGCCAGTGAGGCTGTTCTCCGTCCCTTGGCTCCAGCAGCAGCTGCTGCTCCTGCTGTGCCACTCCATGCCGGGGGGGGGGGGGGCAGTTCGCTGGGCAGCTCCGGCTCCAGGCTGCCTTCCACCTGTTCCACCTGCAGGTGGCTGCTCATCCTGCTGGGTGGGTGAAGCAGGTAGAAGGCAGCTGAGAGCTAGAGCTAGAGCTCCATGTGCTGGGCAGGAGCCACCTGGCTGAAGCTTCCTACTCACCGGCCTGGAGTGGTGTGGAGCAGTTAGGGCTGTGCAAAACAGCACCATTTCATTTTGACTTCCATTCTGATGAGACAGTGTTTCATTTCGAGTTTAATTTAGTTTCGAAACTGCTGTTCCATTTTGTTTCGTTGAAACAGTTTAACTGTTTTGACACTGTTTCAACCTATCGCCCATATGCTATAACCCGGACGCATGAAACAGCCTATAACTTTGTCAGTTCTCTCCTGATCTGGTTGAGACTTGCAGGGATAGTAAACCCTTCTGAGGCTATGACGACTGTCATGTTTCAAGGAGATAGGTGCCAGGGTTTCTGGGAAACTGCACCTCAGGCTGCTGACAAGCGAAACTCGTGGCATGGGTGACAAAAAGCAGGGCTGTTCAAACATTGCTGCCATTTATGCTGTTTTTCCATCCCTACCCCAGAGCACTGGGATTGGAAGGGACCTCAGGGAAGGATGACAGTCACTGGCCAGCTACACAGTCAATAGGAGAGCAGTCTTTCCCCTCTCTTCCCCCTCCCTCTCCTTACCTTTTGTTTGGCAAGCCCAACTTGAGCTTTGAAACACAAAACGTTTCGAAACTTTCAAAACGTTTTGACTACCCTTGTTTCAGTCCAAGGTAGTTTCAAAACCCTTCATTTTGTTTCAATTTTGCTGTTTTGAGCTTGAAACAAGTTGAAACAGCGTCGAAATGAAACAGCCATCGAAATTTTGCACAGGCCTAACTAGCAGTAGCCTCAGCTGGAGGCAAGAGGAGCAGAACAGCCCCACTGACCAGGGCCCCAGGGCCTGGGTCAGGGCCCCTGGCCAGCTTGCAGCTTCTGATGGGGTGCAGCTGCAGCCAGCTGGGTGATGCTGTGCTTCCCTTGCCTCCAATGGCTGCTTCTCCTCCCGCTCTGCTCCAGGTGGGCAGGGGTGGAAGCTTCAGCCCTGCGGCTCATGCTGGAGGTGAGGGGTGCAGAGGAGCACCTAGCCAGCTGCAGTCACAGTGGGAACAGCCCCGCTAGAAGCTGTGTGCTGGCTGGGACCTAAGCCAGCGCGAGTGCAGTGCAGGCTGCCCTGGTGGGAGCAGGTTTGGGCTAGGTTCCATGTGGAGCACCATGGGGGCACCTGTGGGCCAGATCCAATCAGTTGGTGGGGTGAATCTGGCCTGTGGGCTGTATTTTGCCCACCCCTGGCTTAAGCAAAAATGGCTTTAATCTTTCAAGTTTCTAATGATCAAAGATAAACCATGTTTAAGTGGATTTCTCCCCAAATCTGCAGTCCAGAAACTCTCCCCGGGTACCAAAGTGGCACCTCTTCAAATCCTCTCTTTAAATACTTTTATGTTGTTGGAAATTTGAAGTGTCCAACCTGCCTTAGTCACAACCCCCCAGAAACACAACCACTCATGACCTCGGCGCAGTTCTTTGTTCTTCAAAGAGGCAGAAGTCATCTTCCTCGTCCCACATTCTGCTTGAGCCTTTCTTGAATCCACCCGCGTGAGACTTGCTTGACTGCCCTCTGCCTCCACCTCCTCTGCCGCCTCCACCTCGGCCCCTGCCTCTGCCCCCGCCCCTGTTGGGCCGCCCTCGCCGCCTCCCGGCCGAGCTCATGGTCTCCCTGCGAACAAAAGGAACGGCCTGTCAAAGATATCGCACCGCACGGGGTCCCGGGGCTCCGCTCCCCACTCACCCGCAGCACGGGGCACATCGCCGCACCCTGCCTGTCCTGCCCCTGCCCCTGCCCGCCGGGTCGCGCCCCACTCACCCGCGCGGGGGCGGCTGGCGCAGCCGGGATCAGCGCCCCTCACCGCCTCCTGGCCGAGACGCAACTTCCCCTCCCCCGTCCCGTCCCCAGCAGCCGCGGCCGGACCCGGAAGCAAAGCTCCTCCACTTCCGGTGGGGGGGACGGAGCCCTGTTCCCATAGCAACTGCAGACGCTCCCCACCATGGCAGGTGAGCGTTTCTGTCCCCAGGGGGGAGGGGTCCAGCACTGCGCCCTCTGCTGGCCGGGGGGAGCGGGGACGAGGAGCGCCCTGAGGTGCGTCCCCGCCCGGCTCCTGAGGGCTTGTGGGGGACATGTTGCGTGGCGGGGGGGTGGTAGAGGGGTGCGTGCGCATGCTATGTTTAATTTTTTTATTTGGAAAACTATATTTCTCTCTCTATATAGTTTTATATACATATACACGCACACACAGACACACACCATCCCGGATAAGCATTTCTACACAAACCTTAAAACGCATTTAAAACCCATGCACCCATCACAATGGTCGTCCCCATGCATCTGTGCCCCCACACCCCCATCTGCAGTCCTTTCCTTAACTCAGTCTCTTAGTTCTCACCCCACTGTTGGGGTTTACACTCTATGCCTATTTCCTGCCTCTGTTGTTGTCACTGTTACTTCTGCTGCTACTGACACTGCTGTTGTCATCATCGCTGTTTCGACGTCCGGCTGTGTTGCTGTCATCTTCATTATCGCTGACTACTCTGCCTCTCAGAGTGTCTTTGAATAGCCTTTGCCAAGTGGAGTTGGCTGCATCTTCTCCGTCCTCTCCCACCGCTTTCCGGTAGTAGGACTGGAGTTCAATCAGAAAAATTTTGACAGTGTTTCCTCCAGGTCCGTGTGTCCATACACTGATAGGTTCCTGCATTGCCACAGGATGCTCCTGACGCAGGACACAAACTGGTTGAAGTGAGCTGTTTCAGACCCCTACTGTGTAGTCAGGTGTCCGTACAGTGCCACCTCCCTTGTCATCAGCCTGACTCCTGTCACCTCTTCAAGGAGCCAGCTTACCTTTTTCCACACTCCCTTGGCATAGGGACAGAGCCAAAGGAAGTGGTTGATGGTCTCTTTCATCTTGGCAGGCTTTCCTGCGGCAGTTGAGTCAAGTTCCTTGTCCCTTTCTGCGTCTCCATGCCCTCATTGGGAGAGCACAGTGCGCTATTAGCCAGTTCAAGTCTCTGTGGTTCTTTCATAGGTCCTTGTGGAAGATCTGGTTCCAGACAGCTTGGCAGTTGTCTTTGGGGCGCATCTCCATGGTTGATAGTATGTCTCTGTCTCTGACTGCCTTCTGTATCTTCCTGTGGTTAGTCATAGTCACCGGGCTTTCCTTCTGTAGCCTGTATCCACTCTGGAAGTTGTTCAGGACTCTGTAGAACCAGAAGTGTTCCATGCTCCACAGTTTCCAGTGGGTTGGTATGTATACCCCTCATTGTCTCAAGAGGTGACCTGGAAAAAACTTTACTAGACAGGCTGTTTTGGACACTGGCCCAGTCACCAGCTTGCAGATTAGGCTTGTGTACCATGCCCACAGGAACAGATGGATGTCTGGTATCCCCCTACCCCTGGTCCATTTCTTTTTGTATAGGTTCTTCCTTGCCACCTTCTCCATTCTGGATCCCCAGAAGAAAATGTACATGGCTCTCTGGATTCTGTGGATGATACACTTTGGAGGGGAGAAGACTAGTGAGGTATACAGAAGCACTGGTAGCAACACTGCCTTCATGAGTGCCACTGTGTGCACTGAGCCAGGCCAGGCTGTGGTGCCAGCACTGCCTTGACGTCTGTGGCAGGGTGCAGCAGGCACTGGGCAGGCACCGTGAGACCTGCAGAGACCTGAAGCACCCCAGCCCCACTGCCCACCACACCCTGGTGTAGCCCTGTGGGGTTAGGCCAACTCTCAGGATCTCAATATTGCTCTGTTAGACAGGAGGGTGTGACACAGTTGCACATATACAAACACACAAATCAATTAGGTGCATACACACACACACACACACACACACTACCAGCTCAGGCACATACACATCCAAACCAGCCTAGGCACATGCATACCTATCACCAATTCAAGCACATACACCCCAAAAGTTAGACACAGATCACTAATTCATATATCATTCACACAATGACATATATGAATGTATATATATACACACACACACACACACACACACACACACACCAATTCACACACATACAACTTGCCTACACATACACACAGGTAAGTTCCTAACTTGGATGGTATACCATGTATGTGTGTGCTTGGGGTACCTGGGGGAAGGTTAAGGTAAGAGTGAGAGTTAAGGTGTAGGGAGTAAAAGTTGCCAGAACCGGGATTAGAACTGGTAGACTATAGAGAAGCTGGCTGAGGAGCTAAGGCTTGGGTTTACTTAAGGTAGACTGGGGCTGAAAACTGAAGCAGACAGCTGAGATATTGAGGGGTGGGGCAGATAAGTGATGGCGAGGAGACAGCCAGGAAAGAAACTGAGACAGAAACCTGGTTGCTCAGGGGAAAAGGAAAAGGCAGTGGGGATAAGACAGTGGCAAAGGAACAGGGGGGTTGGAGGCAGAGAGAAGCTCAGGACAGGTGTTGGAGGTGGCAGTGAGCCAGAAGCAGGAGAGGGAGAAATGAGACAGAAGTTAGAGGGGCTAGGAGCAGAGATTGGAGCTGGGCCAAACCATAGTAAAGCAAAACCCAACTTAGGGGTCCAAATAACAGTTTTATTACACAGACAACACACTACACTGCCCTATGCAGTTATTGGTTCACACACACACACACACACACTCACAATGGCAGCAGGAGAAAGAGAGTCAGTGGAAGGGTTGGAGTCTAGGTGGGGAAGAGAAGCAGAGTCCAAGTCCTTGGTTGAAGAGGGGTTGGGGGGTGATAGCTACTGATCCAGGCTGGAAAGGGCTCCTTGTCCAGTAGGTGTTGTCCAGAGGAGGGTCGCCAGAAGAGCCTCTGGGTGGATAGGTGGTGTGGCATGGTGCTGGTCCAGATGGAGAGGGAGTCCCACTGGGTCTGTCTTCACTGCCCCTTTTTATAGGGGCAGACCTTGTGTGACCCCAGTGACAGGTGGCATGCTCAGGCAAGGGTCAGCCCCTGGCATACTGAGCATGTGTGCTCCATGCAGCGATGTGCAGTTTCGGGTGTCTGTAATGGTGGGGTACAATGGTAGAGTTGCTGGTTCTGCAGGGTCTTTTGTCTTTCAAATGCTGGGTTCTTGTCTCTGTTCCTGGGTGAGGTCCGTGGTTCCTGGATGAATCAATGCGAGATGATGGTCCAGTTGTTACAGGCCATTCAGTAGAGGCCTGCTACCATTGTATTTCAATTATTCCCAATCACTCTCATTCATTCGGGAACCAATTTACATGGGAGGGGTACGTGACTCGTACAGCTGCAACGCAGGGGATGCCCGGGCACGGGACACAAGATGGAGACTTGACATACAAAATGGAAACTTGACATTACTTTGGTTCACTTACAAACACAGGCCTAAACCATACAATATCCATATGAAACGATAAAAATCAATACGAAAATGATAATAATACAATATACAATAGTAAGAATCAATACAAACCTAATCATAATACAATATAAAACAGTGGATATCCAAAACCAAAAACTTGCTACCAAAATAAAAATGTTAAAGCTTATCCTAAGTCTGAGCTCGCTTATGCTTGTCTATGGGGAAAAGAAAGGGAGAGAAAGAAAAGCCAGAAATAATTGGGGAAGGGAAGGGAATGCATATCTATCATATCTAATATATACACACACACACACACACACACACGTAATTATCTCTATATGTATGTG